GGGGGGGGGGGGGGGGGGGGGGGGGGGGGGGGGGGGGGGAGACGAGTAAGAATGGCTTGGAGGAACCGAGTACATATACTGATACCTGCATTTAAGGTGACTTGACAACACATTTATGAAGATGTGAGTGACTAAAACTGGGTTATTAATGAGAGGTTGCACCCTTGAGACCTGAGTCTAGAGTCATGAGTGCTAGACATCAATGGCTATCGCGCTGTGTATATCTCCTCGGTGTACCCAGGGGTATTGTTCGTCGAGCATTAAACGCTCAGGGAACTCAAGTACCTCGGGGATAGCCATAACTGTTCAGCGTGACACTTATCACTTGTCCTATCATCCTAACATTAAAGATACGAAGATTTGAGTGGAGAACACTCATTGCGTGTGGGTAAGAGTGTCAGGCATCAAATGTTCAGATGAGACTTAAGATCTTTACACTCATTACTAATCCAAGTATAAATATACATTAGAGAAATGAACAAAGATACACAACACTAAATTGAGATAAGATATATATTGTGCTCAAGCCTCCAATCTTACACTGACTTAAGTTTTAGAGGAAAAAAGTCTGGTGTTCACCCAGCCCCTTTTCTGATCCTATGGTTGTTTCAGGTTCACCATACAGAAAATTGTTATCTCAATCTATTACATGAAATCTCTTGTGCAATAATATATAATCAATCGTTACAATAATTTTTTATTTAAAAATTACACTCATATCTTGATATTAATACAATTGTAATCGAGAAAGTATAAGATTATAATTGAAAGGAGTTTTCAACACTTGTCACCAGAAAACGACCAAACAGGAAGTTGAATAAAATCTGATCAACTGAAAACAATCATATATAAACACCAAAGTTAGAATATTATGGTAGAAAAGATGAACATGCTCAAAACTCTTGCTCTCTCTTCTTTATGCTTTGCCCTGCCCTCTTCTCTATTCTCATACTCAATGAAAATACAAGAGGATTGACTAAAAGGACAAAATCCTGGCCTTTTCTATAAGACCTTATTCTCACACATGAGATCAGACACATAAGACCCTTCGTGAAGCATAACAAGAGTCATGTGAAGCACGCAATTTATTCACTCACCTGTCGGCATTTGCTCGGATAGGTGGCCGCCGGTCGGCACCTGTTTGGGCAGGTCCCTGCCAATTGGCGCTAGTTTGAGGGAGGTCCTTGTATTCAATATATTTTCTATCCTTTAAGAAAAAAAATTATGAATGATATATTTTTTTTCCTTTATATTTAGTAGGATAGATGAAAAATAAAAATAATTAATTTTTTTTTTGGGCTTGATAAGATGGAAAAAATATATATTTTTAAAATTTTAATTTTTTTTAAAAAAAATATAAATACAGATTTTATCATTGTATACACGTATATATCAAAAGATATATAAACAAATAAAATACATTTTAACACAAATAATTAACTTTCTATTTACTTTTTTTTCGATTTTGGAGGGATTAATTTTGGTGAGTTAGAAGAAAAACTTATTTTTTCACTTTTCTATCTTTCCTATTTTATTTTCTTGCCAAATATAATATTTTATTTATCCTTCTAATTTTTTATCATTCTGACTTTCAATTGGATGGATGGACGGTTTATTAAAAAAATTTGATATTGCTGATATTTTCTATTTATTATTCTCCTACATAATTTGGAAAAAGGCCATTCTACCGAATGCCCTTGATTGAGAGCCCACAGTCCGGCCCAAAGAACAGCCCAAACCCACAGATATTAACGACCGTACCTGCTTCGCACGCGTTAAGTCTGCGGACTGAGACGATCATTGCGTGCCAAAGAGAGAGACAGGCGTCAACGTCAACGAAACCTACGAAAATTGAATTTTAGCGATATTTACTACTAAAGCTAGGGTTTCTCTCTATACAACGGTGTTTTATTTGATCTTTGGGGGCGATATTTTCAGCAACCTCACGTTGACAATTCACATGAATCGATCTGATTAGTTTTCAGGTTTGTTATGTTTGATCTGTATGTTTCTAATTCGTAGCGATTGAAATTTTCTTATGTTTCATTATCAAACAGGCTGATCCCTACTCTATTTAGTCTGAAATTACAGCTTATTCTGAGAAATTATAGAATACTGTTGATGTTATCTTCTGCGTTCTTGCACGAAGAAGATTGAAAAGTATTTTTTGAAGGTATGGTAATCTTTGTGCGTTTTTATCCGTGTTTCTGAGTTTTTCTTGTAGTTTGGATGCATTCTCTCCCTCCCCCCCCCCCCCCCCCCCTTTTTTTTTTTTTTTTTTTTTTTTTATTTTTTTTATATTTATAACAGAGCAACTATTCTCAACTAGTAGATTCATTTCTAATACTAATGTGAACAATTGTATGATGAGAAAGATAATGTAATATGGATGATGCAAGTAAGTGGTGAGGAAAAAGAAAGAAAAACAAGATTTATAGAGATTCAGTGAAACCACTATGGCATACATCCTCACTTCAACCTCTGCCTTGGAGCTTCTCTTTCATTACCTCAACCTTATTCAATAGGTGAAGATCAAACTCCTTACAACTTTTGTCTAGACACACCTCTCTTATCTTCTTCAATTGGTGAAAACATATCCTTAAAATTTAAGCTTAATCAATAGAAATATTTTATTTTCTCTCTACAAGAAGATCACTCTAAAAAAAACAACAAAAGAGAAGAATATAATAAGTTAAAAAATCTCTATTGAAATATTTTCACAATATCAAGCACTCTTAAAAGCGTAGGTCACTTTTTCAAAGGCCTAAGAACTTCAAAGCGTAGGTCACTTTTTCATAGGCCTAAGAACTCCCTTACTTCAAGCATTATCATGCCTATTTATATTTGAGGCAATTGGATGTGAAATTCGAACCAAAAACTAGATGTTAGAGACTCCAATT